CCTTTGATTTTCAGTCTCTCATTTTTGGAATGAAAATTAAAATCTACTTTTCAGTTGCCCAGACAGGCTGGTATATTTTTATATCCTTCATCTTGAATAAGAAACTCTTTGGAATCAGTCTTTTAATACTTTTTAAATAATATTTCATTCTTAAGCCATTTAGATAAAAATTTCACATAGATCATGAAACCTTAAATGTAAAGATATTCCCACTGACCTGTAGGAAAATCTTAAAATATTATTATTAAAATTGAGAAGTTCCTATCTCACAAAGGGATGTTCTTCCAAGATTGTTTCTAAATCACACCTTGAATCTTATTTCTCATGGTGGTTAGCCCAGTCGTCAAAAGCTGACCCTAGGCTCACCAGTAGCAGTGCATTTTCACCTCCCCCTCCCTATATTCCGTAAATCCAAAGGCTAGCTCTTAAGAAAATGCACTGCAACCACTTTGGAAGAAAGTACTATCTAGACAAGCTGTGAAACAGTCTCCTGCGTGTGAGAGAGAGGAGTGATGCATATCCACGAGTTCCTTTGAAACTCTAGCTCTCTGAACTACAGCCTTCAACAGTCCCATAGGCTCTGGCCTATCCTGTGGTCCCTATAGTTTAGTTCTGATGCCCCCCTCTCCTTCACCTGCTCTAATGTCATGCACAACCTGCTCTTTCCAGTAAGTCTCCTGCTTTCCTGCCCATGAGCCAGACTGTATACTCGTTTCATTCTTAAGAGTATACTTGGATATTGATACAAATCAACTTTAATTTGTACCATTTTCAGGAAATTAAATATACTAAATCTATAGACCATTTAATTTCAGCTTTTGAAATTTTAAAGATATGTAAATTGCCTGGTGATATCTCAATCTCAAAAAGTCCGATGACGACATTAGGTCAGACCATGCCATCTTGCATTGCCATTGCTCTGAAAACCACTTAGAAAAGGCGATGTCAGATTGGCCTGGGCTCCATGTTCTCTCATTCCCTCACTTCCAACCTCCACCTCAACTCCACAGTCAGAAAAAATACCATGATAGACACCAAGATTCACCCTTGGATCCCAGAGTGAACACGATTTGTCCTGCTGCCTGCCCCTGCACTCGTCTGCACACTGCTCGCATACACACACAGACAGAGTGTTATAAGTGGGTAGGAGAGATTGTTGACAAGTCCTGCTATCCCATACCTTTCTTCCACAGAATTGAGGACAGAGATGGTTTGTCACTGATAGTTAGAAACCTGAGAATCTTATCGGTGTGTGTATTACATGTAAGAATAAGGAGAAATGGTAGGGAGTAAAAATCATTCTCCAGATAAGAATTACTCAGTGTTTTTTTTAAGCTGAAAACATACTAGTTTTTTCTAATTGTTGTTGCCAATGAAGTTTTTAGAACTTCGTAGAACAGAATTCTCAGAGACTATCACTCTACAAAAATTCACTTTCTTTATCCTCAAATGATCTTTTCTCGTTTTGAGTGTGTTGTAAGTTATTATCCCTTCAAGACCTCCTTTTTTAAAAAATTGGTGTCCAGAGTAGGTGCTCAAAAAAAAGTTTTTTTAATGTAATGTCCATTAAGCCATTTGTTGGCTTTGTGATACTTAGGAGAGGTTGCAGAAATTAATTTACATTTAGAACTTATCTTCACATTCACTCTATGGCTACATATTCTTTAAATATGGCTTATGTGCACTTACCTTACTTGCTTTTCAATTTCTTCTGATTGGAAGTTATATAACTGGAATAGTGTTTCAAGTAAGTTAAAATGGCCTCTTTCATTTGCAATAAAATGGGTACTTTTACTTCTTTTAAGACACCATGTTTTCCTCTTCTAATTCATTGACTTTCAAAAGTCAGTGAAGTCAGAATTCTGAGTTCTCTTCTAAAGGACTGGCCTACCTCTATGTCTAATCAAAAATTTCTCAACCTTGGCCCTACTGACATTTCAGACCGGGTAGTTCTTTGTTGTGGGTAGTTCTCCCACTAGATGCCAATAGCACCCTTCCAGACCAATTGTCCCCTGGGGGACAAAATCGCCCCTTGTTGAGAATCTCTTTTCTATCTATGTGTATGTAACACAAGCTTCAAAACAGTTCAGTGGGTACATAGCATGGTTTATATATGCTTTTTTAAAAAACTGTTTCTTTTTCATCTGATTCTTTCCTATTCTGGTCATGCTCATATTTTTTAAATGATTGTACCTTTTTTTCCTATTCAAGAGACTTTTAAAGAATGAGAATATGAAAGTCTTCTGTGTCTACCATCAGGTCAGACACTAATGCTTTGAGGGGCATACACAGTAATTAATTCATACAAGATATTTTTGTTATTGAACTCTTCAGAGTTAAACAGGACTCTATTGCATGTATGTATGTTTTAAAAAATGAAATGAGGCTGATTAGCTCAGTTGGTTAGAGCATGGTGTTGATAACATCAAGGGCTCTATCCCTGTACAGCCAGCCACCAAAAAAAAAAAAAAGAAACAAAAAAAATGTATAGAAAGATAATATTTTCACTTTCAAAAATATAAATGTTACTTAAGATGTTTAGGATTGGGCAGTTTGGAGGATAAGAAAGGAAAATCTAAATTTAAGTAAAGTGAAGGTTTATTATCAGCTTTCCTGTAACACTCTGTTTAGTAGACATCTGAGCTAAAGGACTCGAGTAATGAAGTTAAAAGTTTTCAATAAAAGAATATTGCATATTTGCAGAAGTTGGTACAAACTCTAGTCCCTTGAAAAATAGAAATGATTCTATTGTTTACGAATGCAATTTATAATCTCCCAAACAGGATGATTTTCCATACTCTAATGGGTAAAGTGCTGCTGTATTCCTAAACCTGAGTGGCATAGGAAGGAAAACCTTAGGCCTAAACTGAAGCCAGAGCCTGACATGGAGATGAGACCTCAACCACTATGAAAATCTCCCCAGCTAGGTTCTACAGATCTAGATGGAGGGTTGAGGGAAGGATGGATGGAAGTTAAGTGAGTCATGGCTGGGAGGGAATTTCACTGAAGTGTCCACATCTTTCTTACCTATCCACCTCTGCTCCTAGGCCATAGGAAGGTTTAGGCTATAGAGCACATCCCTTCTCTGTCAGCAAAACCCTCTTGTCAGAAAAACGAAAGCAGATATCAGTGAGTGCTGTTGCACCAGCACACAGATGGACTTTATGTCCTCTTGTGTCTGATGCAAGCATTCCTTTGGCTCCTGCTCCCCCACTGCTACAAGATTAAGAAGTCACCAATGTGTGGGGGCCGACTAGGTGTTGAGTTTGCACACCCAATAAGACAGCCTGATGAGTACCTGCAGAGTAAATTAAGACTTGTTCGCAAAGTTACAGAATTTTAGAACTGGAGAAAATTGAGGGAATTAAAGAGTAACTGTAGGGCCCCCAGAAGTTATTATTAATGTGAGTACAATAGATAATAAATATAGGAACTTCTTACTCTAGAAATTCAGTCTGATTTAAAATAGGGAGTCAAAGACAGTTTAAATTCATTGATGATGGAGGCTTTGTGGAATAATATCTAATACTCAGTATCTTTGAAACTTGACCTTTCAAGCTCTTCTGAATCTCCTTTGAAAAGATGTTTCTGTTTGACTTATTTCTTCTCCTTGTTCATTTATTCCTTCAACAAATATTCATTACATGTCTACTATGTGCCAGACACTGTAAATTGTTTCCCTCCTCTGTTTCTTTACTATTTTTTCTAGGGGCTTGTGGTGGGGGTTGGAATTGGTTCTAATTATTTCCTATAGTTTAAGGCTTAGGTAAGAGTCTTTTAGATTGAGCAAGTCAGAGAATGAAGAGCACAGCAAAGGCAGGGATCATACATGCTTGTACTCACTAGCACATTCATGAGTGTTACACACACACACACACACACAAACACACACACACACACACACACACACGGCAGCCAATTAGCTCTGGGTCTTAATCTTCCAATAATAGAAAGGACAGATTTGGGGGAGAAGAAAGAGGATTATAAAACAATTTCTGCCTCCCTACTTCTCTACTAAATTACTGAGACTGTGGGTTTGGGGGCTGGAGGGTAGGAAGTCATATTTTACATTCTTGCCAACAAATCCTTTTTTAAATTATCACCTGATATCATGGCGGCCCCTGCAGATGTAAGAGGCTGGCTCAGGTGGAACAGTTGAAAGTCAATGAAAAGACTCCAGTTTGTTCACATGCATTTATTGAGCTCCTGCCATGTGCCAGGAAATATGCCTGATGCAGAGCCTCGGTCATCTGGAACAACCCTGTCCCTTCGCTCATTGGGCTTCCCATCTAGTAGGGAGACCAGACCTTGAGCAAGAACACAGAAAACACATCTCCTTTTCCATAGTGTTGCCTGGGGGTCAGCATTTGAGTGGCCTGAACAATCATCTTTGTAGGCTGCTGACCCTGTCCTATAAACATGGAGATGAACAAGGGAATCATAGGACAAGGAGAAACACCCAGCTGCATTTTGCCTGTGAATGTGATTAAGACATTAATCTATGCTGCTAGTTATTCTTCAAAAATACCACTCAAAGAAGCAAGAATTAAAATGAAATGTTTTTTATTAAGAGAGCAAAAGATTGGGATATGGACTGTATCTCAGAGACCATTTAAATATTCAGAAGCTATTCAGCAAGGGATCCTGTCAGCCAAAGACAAAACTTGTATAGCTCAAAGGAGGAAGAACTTTTTAGCAAATTCACTAACAACGCTTCCACGTGAACTATAATCATTTGTTAGTTTGAAATGGAGAGGGCTCCTCTTATAAACTAATTATTGAGTGGAAGTGATTACTGACACTCAAGCATAGAAAATGGAAATAAGAATGTGATAAGTTATAGGCATGCTTGCCAGATTCCCTAAATTATTTGGCCATTTAAATGCTATAAAAATGTATACAAAGAGGGTGTGTAAATGACTGTCACTTGAAAAACCACTAAGATCTTCTGTAGCAAATTTATAACTTGAGGTATTTCTTTTTCTTTCCCCTCTTTATAGCTTGTCAAAATTCCCAAAAATGATCCCCTCAATGAAGTGCATAACTTTAACTTCTATTTGTCAAATGTGGGCAAAGACAACCCTCAAGGCAGCTTTGACTGCATTCAGCAAACATTTTCCAGGTAAGTACTTTTCAAGGTATGCTGAAGAGAAAGTAATTTTTATTTAAGAGGGCTTTAAAAAATTAAACAACGAAATACATGGTAGTCATTCCATAAATATATCTATTAAATTGAATTTCAGAGCTTATTTATTTATTTGAAAAATGTTAAGCACCCACTATGTACTAGAAATTGCATTTGTCAGTGGGATATAATCACAAAAATTCTGAGATTCTTGCTCTCAAGGGCAAGAAGATATTAAGTTATAGAAGATATTTTGCCTATAAAATAAGGAGTTTTTAAAAATTAAAGACGATTTTGAGAATTTTAAAAAAGGTTTTATTTATTGCATTTAAATAAGACTTTCACAGCATACGTGAAGCTCACATCAAGGGTAAAGGAGGAAAAATTACACATGTTGCATGTCCTCTTCCCTCTTCCCTGTTCAAACCTTGTTTTAAGGTAGATTTTTAAGAATCTTTATTCCACAGCATCATGGAAACTAAACTTAACCTCAGTATAGCAGTCACCTTTTCTTCTGATTAAAAAAGAAAGGGAAAAGTAGGGAGAAAGACAAGAACACACACTAACACCCCAGGGTACCATGGAACTCTTATCTACTTAGATCCTCTGTAAACAATAAGCCACTTGTCTCAATCTTCTTTGCTTTGGTTGTTTCTGATTAAAGAATGGGCCCTTGAGTAGGGGGAGTTTGTTCTGTCCCTGGATAGAGACAAGGGAGGTTGGGGGCTCTTTCATTTCCTCAGTGTGTAGGGCTAAGAGTACCCGAATCAGTCCATCTCTATTGCTCATCTGTGCAGAGCTTGAAACTGTGTAAGAACTTGCTATATGTGGGGAAAGTAAGGAAAGCTGTGTTTCAACCAGGCACAGGAGGCAGAATACAAAATAAGACACTTCACTGAAAGAGTTCTAAATTTCTCCTCCCATTTTAAGTGACCAAATAACTTTTCATTTGTTTTATTTAATCTTCCATTTTCCCTAAATATATATTAATTTTGCTCTCTGAAAATTGCCCACCCCAAACATATTTTTTGGTATAAACTGCATATATTATAGATTATATAGACTTTTCTGTCCACTGCAAGAGCCACTGGCCACATGTGGCTATTTACATTCAACTGATAAAAATTAAATAATATTTAAAACTCTACTGATCATTTACACTAACCATATTTTACAGTCTCAATAGCCACATGTTGCTATCACAGTGGACAACACAGATATAGAACATTTCCACCCTTGCAGAAAGTTCTGTTGGACAGCACTGCTATAGATTATGGATTCACCAAGTTTAAGGATCCCTAGTGATTGTGTAGGTCAACCCATTCATTTCACAGCTGACTTATCCACAGTTATGTAGCTGTTCAGTTAGTGGCTGGGCTAAATGAGATCTGAGTTCTCCTAACTCCCAGCCCAGTATTCTTTACTCGCCACAGGGCATAATAATTTGTAATTGTAGTGCCATCACCTGTGATACTTGTCTTTATATAGTTATTTTATTATTGTGAGAATGTTTTGAAATAAAATTGAACCATGTCCCTTTAGGAATTTTATTAAAGAACTCAATCCTCTCTTCAAAACCAGTCATATCATCATAAGTAGTATGGTTTCACTCTTGCATCATAAATACTATGTGTGTTACTTCTACCCTACTTGTCTGGAAAAGGATTTAAGGTCACTTACAAAACTACACATGATACAGCAAGAGAAAAGAAACAGTGATAAATTATGAGAAAATCTGGGCAAATGTATTAGTATCCCTTCATTATGATTCAAGGTGCTTTATAAAATGGTGTGGTATGGGTATAAATTGAAATTTGCCACTATGAAAACAAAAACACTCAAACTTTCAGTTCTCAGCCTATCAAGCAAACATGTCATTCATCTGGCTCTACCTTTTATATTCAACTTAATTTTTATTTTTCCTGTGGATCTTGGCTCTTCTATAATAATGCAAGCTCCTCTTCAAGGGCAGTGGCTTTCTTATGCCCTTTTTCTAATCTCACTGTACTGGCTAAGCTCAAAATAGATGCTCAGTAAATAGATTTTCAACAAATACAGATCAAATAGTCTTCTCTTTTATCTATCTTTTAAACCTCCTTGAACCTCACTTTTCTCACATAAAAAATGGAGGAAATAGTCAAAATTACCTTTTCAAAAATTCCTTAAGTCTACCCATTCACAGACTAGGTGAAAATATATAGTTTGGGGCATACACTGTACAGTATTGCACACTCAAGTGTGGGAAATAGTGAGCTAGTCTAGAGACAGACTAAGGGAACATTTATACACGGGTTTCCAAGGATTTAAACTTCCAAGGTAACTCGGTAGAAAAGGGATGAGTGAAGATTCTGGAGAGTACCTTTCTTGCCTGCAGGGCTTAGCTCCATTTTGTCTTCCAATAAAGATCTGTTTGCTGACCTTCTCACTATGTAAATTAGTGAATAACAGGGAGAGATGTTAAAATACAAATTTCCTGCCATCAGACCTTCACTGTACTGCAGTCATTTCATCCGACTTTTCCCCACCCCCCATCCAGCTTCCCTGCGGTTAAATCTTCCTCTCTTCTCACCTTTCTCTCACTGGTTTTCAGCATTCAAACATGCTCAAGTCTGTCTCATAAAAAAATAAAATACAATTTTAAAAAACCTCCCTTAAAATCACTTCTTAACCCAGATCAGAGTCTGGCTTCAGCCTCCACCATTCCACTGAAACTGCTTCCCCAAGGGGGCGGTGACCTCCTTGCACCTAAATCACGTGGATGCTTCTTCCTTATTCTTCCTTACTATTCCTCATTGCTCTGGACTTGTTGCCAGCCCTTCACACTGTTCACCACTCTGTACCTGAAGCATTCTAGTCTACTGGCTTCCATAACACAGTACTCTTCTGGTTTCTCTCCTATTTCTTTGGGTATGTACGGCTTTTCAGTCTCATGTGGTCTTCTTTTCCTCCTCTTGTTTAAATATTAGTGTTCTTCACAGTTCGTTCCCTTCTGAGATCCTGTCTCTCCTCATTCCTTCAAAATCATCATTTCTAACACTGAGCTCATTTTCTTTCTCCCATCTGTCCCTAACCTGCCCTTTTTTGTGTGTTTAGTGTCTCAATAAATGGCAGCTCCATATGCCTTGTAACCTGGGCATGATCTTTAACTTCTCTCCCTTTCTCTCCCTCTACAGCTAATCACTGACCAAATCCTGTCAATTCTGCCTCCTCACTGTCTCTGGAATCTATTCTTTATTTTCACTACCCTACTCTCATTCAAGCCATCGCTTCCTGCCTATAATCCTTCAGCAGCCTCCTAACTGGTCTCTGCTTTAACTCTTGGGTCCACCTTCCTCCCCATCCATTCTCCATCCGGATTGCTTTCTGCAATGCAAATAAGATATTTCCTACCCCCTGTGATTCTTGGGATAAAGTCCAAAATCCATAACATGACCCCTGAAGCCTGTGTGATATATTTCTTATTCCCTCTTCAGATTCACCTCTAATTGTCCTTTCCAGCTTTTTCTGACCAATCTGAAAACGTTCTTGCTTCCCCAGGCCTGCACAGGTTGGGTATCCTCCCAGAACACTTTGTCTGTCCTCCCTCTTGTCCAGTCATTTTTCTAGATCAGCTTGGGCATCACTTCCTCTGGGAAGTCCAGATGAGGTACCTTTCTTGGGGTCCCCTGCTCCCTGGCATTCATCACACTATGTTGTAACTTTGCCCATTCTTGTCACCCATTAGAGACCTCCTTGAAGGAAGGACCACATCTTAGACCTTGTTGCAACCTTCGTGTCTCTCACATTACCTGGTGTGCAATCCCTGTTGAACAAATGTTTGTGAGATGAGCGAACTGATTTTTTAAAAATAGCATTCATAAAGACAGCTATTAGCAATGTCCAAAAATTTTTACCAACCTATATTTCTTAGAATCATAACAAAGTTACTTCCAATTAAGTCTGGAAATAGAGGATCTGAGCCGTAGTATCATTCTTATTACTATCATATTCTAATTTGTTTTAAGGTTACAGTAATTTCTTTTTATTTTGGGTTTTGGCAGCTGACCAGTACAGAGATTTGAGCCCTTGACCTTGGTGTTATAACACAGTACTCTAATCAACTGAGGTAACAGGCCAGCCCCATAATTTCATGTTAGAACACCAGCTATGATTGTTACCGTGATCTCCTAATATTAGCATATTACTTTGAAACAGAGACTTCTGGGTCAATGTTAATATTCATGATTGTTTCAATAAAAATTTTTAAATATATATATTTCTGCAAAAATTATTTGCCCTGTATTTTCTCCAATATTTGCTATATAAATAGGTCATCTTATATAGAGATTTAACAAAGTGGTAAATACAAATTCTACATTTTTTGGAAAATTGAGCTAATAATACTAAAGCAAACTAATGTTTGTCAGTATTTTAGCTTTAAAATTAATACCTTATTAAAAATAAAAAGAACAGGTGGGTCCATTCCATCTAGTCAGCCTAAAGCATACATATTGTAGTTACACTAAAAATAAACTTTTTAACATTTCTCAGATCAGTTGTAGGTCATTCTTAAAAATAGTTGACTGTTAAATGAAATACAACTATAATGCCCATCTGGGCTCTGGTCTTCACTCCAAATACTGATTTTTTTCCAGATTTCACAGATTTGGTCTCTAAGAGCTCATTTTACCCATTCTAATCAGAATATGGAAAAAAAGGGATATGAAATGAAGAAGAGGAACTTAAATATTTTAACTAACCTTACATAGAAAAATTAATATTAGTTATTCTAGGATTGCAAACTCATTATTTGGGCTGCTGATTTTAGGAATATACAGTTCTTGCTTGCCTTTATTGTGCAAACGAGGCTCATCTCTAACAAAGCCACTGTCTTACTTGACAGCTCTGGAGCCTCCCAGCTCAATTGCCTGGGATTTATACAAGATAAAATTACAGTGTGTGCAACAAACGACTCGTATCAGATGACACGAGAAAGAATGACCCAGGCAGAGGAGGAATCCCGCAACCGAAGCACAAAAGTTATCAAACCCGGTGGACCATATGTAGGTTTGTATAGATATCCTTCTCTCGCTGATTGATTGGAGTAATTCAGGATCACTGTAGGTAAATACTGGTAATATCAACTTAATGAAGAACATTTTAGATACCATGGTCCAAAAAAAAAAAAGTCATTTGTTTTCTTCAGACTACTGGCCAATTGAAGACAGATTTTAAAGTTTCCTGCGTTTCCCGAATCCCAAATCCTCTGTTGACTATTTATTATTATTTTACAATACTGGAAACTGGTCATTTTACTACATGAGGTTGTAATAGTGGTACCGTTGTGTTTATTTTGTCACTAGATGATGTAATTTCAGTGATGGACAGTATGGTTCTTGTTTTGCACTTTTGTAGGGTTATTTTTACAGTAAAATCTATTTGTAGAATTTACGAATTGATAACCTCATTGTTGCAGGTTTTGTTTACATTTTCAGAGGATCTTTGCCCAAGAAAGAATTTCTATTGCAAAAGTATGAAATATGCTTATAGCAAAGCATTACAGGAAAGCACTAGGGTGATGCCTCTCTGGTACCTCAGTTGTGATCTTCATCCTCATCTATCCATTAATTAAGAGCCAGCCCCTCCCCCTGTGTCATCTTCATCATCAGCTCACTCCAATATCCACCTGATTGAAGGGAAGTCAAACCAGACGAGCAGATGAGTCTCTCTTTTGTGAGCAGTGACCTTAACAACTTTAAGGAGTCAATTCACAGTGACTATTAACAGTAATAGAATTATCAAGAGTAAGGATGAGCTCTTTGAGTCCTTGGTCAGTTTAATAACACAAGTAACTCTATTGTAAATGATGAAAGGATATTTGGAAACTTAAATGCTCACAAAAACAGTCTCTTGAGAAACCAAATGCCTTAATCAACATCTTTCTAAGGTTTGGTATACTACTTCTGTATTTTCCCATTGCTGATCCAGCTGCAATACCTTCAGCTTTGAGAAGCGCCACTAGCATCTTTAATAAGTATTTCTTTGGAACAAAGCCAGTGCTCTTGGGACTTGGTGCTTAGCTTAGATACATTTAGTTTGGTTTAACAACAATTCATGGCTTCCCCAGGTATCTGTACCCATGGGGCCCAGTTCCCTGCCCAGTAAGTTACCAGCAATGAGATTTTTCACCTTCTCTTTCCTCTAAGTGAGGCAACTACTTCCAGTCTCCTTTCTTTCTCCTTTACCCTCACAAGTAACTTAATTAACTTTCTTTGCTAGTAGGCTAAATCTCAAATTGTTTTTAAGATACACAAGGTCTGCCACACTTACATATAAGTACAAACTATGAATTATCTGTCCCTGTTGCTTTGAAAGTGTTGTTTTACTCTGTCCAATACCACCATTTTATAAACAGTGAGGCAAGTTGGTATGTTTGACAAAGGAATAGAAGACTAAAACCATCAAAATAACTTTTTTCCTCCCAACATAACCAACTGAAAACCTTCACCTTGATTTATTCCAAAGCTTTAAAATCAGTCATGTTGACTGCACTTTTCCATTGAGTGATTCTTGGGTGTCCCCTATGTTCATGTGTTTTTGTTTGTTTTGGTAGGGTCAGGCACAGTGTGTTTATAGCTTGCACAACAGACTTTTCAACACCCAAAATCCCACAAACCATATACTTGCTAATGGTACTGGGAATTTTAGAACTTGCAGGGTTTCTTGTAGGAACGACAAATAATTTATATACATTTTCAGAGTAACCACAGGAAATTTGAGGCCATGAAAGTTTTAATGTGAACCAAATTATATCTCCACCATTCCAAGAAGGGCTGACCACCCTCTCTCCACATGTATGTCCTCCCCACAAAGCCCTGCAGTGATCTCTACCAGCGCAGGCACTCTGTTTAACCTTTTCTTATTTGCTTTGTCCTTAGTGCCCTGGCTGCCCACTGTCACAGCACTGTGTGCTTCTCTGGTCTTAAATCTTGTCATTAACTTCCTCAGCCTTTTATTCTCTAGGTCAAGTAACCCCAGCTCCTTTTAACTTTTCTTAATATGGCCTATATCCCAACCTTCTAATTATTTTATTGCTCTCCTCTGGACTGCCTCCAGTTCTTCCCCTCAGAATTTAAAACTGGACAGACTACTCTTCATAAAAGTCTGATCAATTCTGAATACAGGGGAGCAAAAGACTCTAGTATCCTGTTGGGCTTTTTAGTTGTCTGTTTTTATTTTTTGCTGTATTTCATTTTGTCACTTTTGATCTTTTTCTTTTGTCCTTATCCATTGCCAGCCCTTTCCCATGCGTTTCTTTCCTTCTGAGCAGCTCAGTTTATACCTTTCTGCTTTTTTCAGTATCTCAAGATTATCTGACTCATTTCATTCTTTGAAATGCTAGTCAGTCACCCCTCAATATTAATATTACCCAGCACTTATCGAGTGCTTGCTGTACATAAGGTACCGGTTAGTACCTTACATGTAGTAACTGGTCTGAATCTCATAATCACCCTATGAAGTAGGTTATGATTAGCTCTCCATTTTACATATCAAGTTTTTGGTATCGGCACATTGCAAATGATAGGGATATGGCCTCATTAGCAAGTTGCGTTCTTTTCTTAAGATAGTAGGAGATACCGCCTTAGTTTATAATTGACCATATCATATAAAATGACACAAAAAGCTCACCCATGCCAGCTTAGAGGTACCTGCAGAGCAAGGTGTCTTTCAATAGTGTCAGCCTGGGTGGAGAACAAATGGGAACAATGTTAGTCCCACTGTGGTGTTTCATGGGCTTGATGCCAGGCCAGGCCTCTGACAGCTGAACCTAGAGCACAAACCCAGTTAAAGGGGATGAAGATTGTGCTCCTAAGAGTCACCTCGCCTAGTCACCCAGGAATATGAGCTTCTGCAACCCTTTTGTGGATTGAAAAACCAAAACCTATTTGCCTAGAAAGGAGTGGGAAAGGCTTTAACCTAGAAAATATTATGATTTATTTAGTAATATTCTCACTTCTAGTCATGACATTTTTATCAGTGGTAAACATGTTGTATTGTTATAATCCCTCCCCTTTGTTTAAAAAAAAATAGCTCATCACCACTGCTTCCAGTTTACCAGTATCTTAAGTCTGCTCATTGACTCCTACCTAAATTCTGCAATTTTACTGAATTGCAAATTTTCATATATACTAATATTTATTTATGTGTATAAAATAACTCAACCAATCTAATTTTTAGGGTTCTGTTTCAAATTTTCCCAACTGCTGCCCCCATCCTCCTTATTTTTGATGAATGAGCACATGTTTGAGTGACCAGAAAAATCATATAACATCCTAATTTTCTCAAATATTAAAGAAAGAGTATTTGAACTAGATGACATCTGATGTTTTTGTAGTTCTAACATTTTATGACTGGTGGATGTATATATTTTGATATTAAACCTTTTGCAAAAAGTGATCACAAATGCCAAATTGTGGAGATGGGTTTCACTACAACGGATTATGTATTTAAGCATGACAGAGTCACATCATCGACACGTCCTTGCTGATGTTTTTAAAGCCTTGCGTCTGTGTTGCCAGGGCCTCTGGTCAGTTTCCACAAAACAGAAAAACAATTGCAGAAGACGGCTACAGTCCCTACTTTCTTTCTCATGGACTGTTTTACACCTTCCTTTCAGATTATTTACTCAGAGCCATTAGACCGAGGGATAAATACTTCTATAATTTCATATTAAATGGAGAAGCTAGAAGTGGACTTTTTGTTATGAAACAACAATTCAGATATAGTCCCAGATTACTCAACCCTGTCAACCCACTGGTGCTGTTTATATAAGGAGCCCAGGGAATTGATTAGCAGTTGAGTCTGGAAAGAGAATTAGGTTCTCCCACAGGCTTTATTAAAAGAGCTTTTCTGAGGCAAATATAAAAAATAAAAATAAAGCCTTTTTTGTGCCCACTTTGAACCTAACATTTCCCTGCTTTACTTTTATCCTTTTTTTTTTTTCTTTAGCCTCTCAATTCTGTAAATATTTATATCACTGATGTTTTCTTCATTTATAGCCTGTCTTTCTTTAAAAACCAGAGGACTCCTTTCTTGTTGAATGGGCACAAAAGGGATGGGAAGGCAGTGAGCAAGTGATTTGGGGGTATAATTCAGTGGCCCACGGTGGCTGGGCTGTTCTTTCAAGCATTTCGAAGAAATGGTTTATCCTATGACTGGTTGTCTAGAAGAAAAGTGAGGTAAATGGTGAAGTGGGTGTTTTGAGGGTGGAGATTCATGGGGATATGACAAACTAGCACTAGGCCCCAGGTAAGAATCCAACTCTCTCCTATCTCTGACCAGACTCTAATTTCTTATCAAACGTCATATTTACACCCCTTTTAAAAAGTTAGCCTCCTTTATTTGTCTGCCCAACGCCCGCTCCTGGGATGGATAGGAATAAACCCAGTAGACCTTGGAGTCCAGGATCAGAGGTGGATCAGAGGTACAGAAGAGGTAGTGCAGCACATTTGTGTTTGCCTTGCTGGCTTGAATTTATTCTAACTGATCAGTCAAAGTATGTGCAACCTTAGCTAAAAAGCACTCTATGCTTATCCACCTTGAGAGAGAGTGACTCCACAATCAGCTTGGTTTGAACAAGAGTGAGTTAAATACGTTTCTTTTTGTAAGACTTGGCAGGGGAGAGGAATATGGAATTTATAGCATTTCCTAAACTTTTGTGACCCTGACCCTATTTTTTTCCCACAAATTCCTATTAAAATTTCAAGGCTAGTAATGTTTGTTAACACTATTACAACTGAGTAATGGTGGATGGGAAGGTTTGTTTCTGCCACGTTAGAAATTTCAATGTGTCTTCATACTCTGGCAGCCTGGCAATGTGGGAAAATATGGACTGTGTTGATTCCTTTTCCTCTGTTTACTTGCTCTCCTGCTGTCACTCACTTAGTCATCAAATACTGATGTCATGTCTGCTGGTGGCCCTGCCTTCATGGAGCTTACAGCCTAGCATGAAGCAAAAGCAAACATTAGGCATTTGTTCAAACCTTTCCCCCTAAGAAGTACAAGTAGGAAAGTTTGGATATTAATCACAGAATCTTCCAAATGCTGAGAGATTTTGAGTGTATCCCTCAAAACCTTCGGCTTTCTCTTCTGTGAAATAGGGACAATCTTCACCAATTCATGTTACTGTGGGACTTAATAAGATAATGTGTGTGAAGCTCTTAGCACAGTGCCCCACACATAATTAGTACATGGTAAATATTAGTTCCCTTCCCATCTGACATTGATTCAGCTGTCTCTAAGAAAAATACAAAAACAAGATCTAAATCTATCCCCAAATCTCTAATTGTAACTTAATTTCATAGTTTTTCTTATCATTAGACAGAGTCCCCTTAATGTTGAGTACCTTTGTTGTCCAATAGTGTGATCTGGTATTTGCAATTGATTATGTCCAGAGAGCAAAAAATCATACCTGCCTGTGGAGGTTTCCTGAGAGCATTCATCTTTTTCCCTTATTCAGGTAGAATGATGTCAAAACAAATAGGGCCTTTGGCAAGGCCTGGGGAGCCCAGCGTGGACAGAATTATGATTCAGTGAAGCTCTTGCCCCAGTAAGCTGTTTTAAACCCAGACCAGAGCTGGTAGAGACTGCTTTTACTTACCCATTGTTTCTAGCTGCTAGTCTTGTTCCTAATGAGTTGCTCCACTTTGTTTGTCATTGCCAGTTCTTCTCCACTTTAACCAGAGGGCATAGAGATGGAGCTTAGTGTGTGTGAAATGATCTAAAAGCTTCCACCTCAGAAATCATAAAATACAGTTTCACACTACTTTCTGTTGTTCCTTCAGCAAAGAATGGTTACTGGGGTCATCAGTGACCAGCCATGTCCGGATAGTTTTGCACATGCATACAGTATCCAGGTTGCTTTAGCCCCCATATTTTCTAGAAGTAGCCAGTTGCCAAGTGTCAGTGTTCAGTCAAACAGAAAATGGGTTAACTACATGAATGCCTCTAGCCGTCAGAAATGGTGTGAAGACCTCCTTGTACCATCTTTCACACCTCCTAACTCACTGGCATAGGCTCAGTGCCTCAGAGGAGAGATGTGTTTGTCTGGCCCTCTGAGATTTTTTAGTTGGTTGGTTGGTTGATTTTGTTTACTGGTTGGTTTGGGGTTTGACGTCTAAAGTTTGACCTGCCAAAAAGGAATATCCCTAGTGGATGTTGACTCACCTCCTAGTGGCTTTTGAATCTGTGAAATTAAAGTAATGTCCCAGCTTAGCCAAGAGTGTATTCTTAGTGAGTTCTGGCAGGTATTTCTCACATTTCACCATGTTCACCATATTTGTGTCTGCTTTTCAGAAATGGCATATAATATGTAGGCTTAAGTTCTGTAAATCTGGTGGTTTTTGTGCTCAAATTTCTAGGTGAGCATGGAAATTATGTTATTTCCGTTTAACATCTAATAACCTACAATCGTAAATTTTCCACTTTATTGTTACAGTTTATGTCACTAATTATTATTCACATGTAGCTAAGTGGCCAAAAAAATCTATAATACATATTTATTCCAATAAATGATTCTATTTAAAAAAAATTCCTTATTTTTTATTTTAGGCCATTTATGTAGAATGCTTTCTGTTTTCATGTCTTCAAAAGTAACTGAAATAAAGTGACCTTTATTCCCTCCAGAAATGAAGAGGAACCTAAATCAGAGTTGTGGAAACTGAGATAATCATAATATTGTAATTTGCAAACATGTAACAATGTCATTTCCGCTGGACTTTAGGGAAAAGAGTGCAAATTCGGAAAGCACCTCAAGCCGTTTCAGATGCAGTGCCTGAGAGAAAGAGGTCAACCCCCATGAACCCTGCAAATACGATTCGAAAGACACATGTCAGCAGCAGTGTTTCTCAGCGGCCATATAGGGACAGGGTGATTCACTTACTGGCACTGAAGGCCTATAAGAAACCTGAGCTGCTTGCTCGACTCCAGAAAGATGGCGTCAGTCAAAAAGACAAGAACTCACTGGGAGCAATTCTGCAGCAGGTAAGGATAGCTGGAGAGAGGTCCTTCCATTTACCTTCTTGTTGCAAAGTTCATTTAAGAAGCCTTGTTGTGGTTATTATCATCATTATTGAGAGAGTGAAATTTCAGGATTGCTTTGATCAATGGCATGTGAAATAATACTCCTGAATATTGGGTAAAATTGTCTTATTGTAAGCATTAAATTAAAAACTAGTAGAAATGTGGGCATTGTCTTCATTTGGGTTAAATTTTACCCTGAAATTCCATAGAAAAGTAGGCAACAAGTTTTGGTTGTCTGTTTTTAGTCTGGAATCACCTAAACTATTGTCTTAATTTTCATTGGTTTGTATAGATGAAGTTGTGCAATGTATTCTATCAGTCTTTGGTTGATATTAGCCAGAATATTTTTGTCTACTAAATAGTTTAGAATATCTTACTCTGCATACTCCTTACTGCCCTTATTATTCTGCCTTTCTCTGCCACTGGGTATGCTAAGATCAATCACTTATCTTATCAAAGGATATGAATGTGTAATGTAACATGTTAGCTCCCAGTAAAACTTAAAAAATTGTACCTAAATTTAAAAATGTTTGATATCCACCATGAAATTTGGTTTAATACTGTTTATTATTAAGCTGGTATATATTTATAAAACTTTCCCTTTCTTAGAAGGACTGTTTTCCTGGAAGAAATAAATTTTAAAAATCAGAAAACCAACTAGATAACGCTGAATAATATTCTTCTCAAGCTTAACTTTGGTTATTTGGCTCAAGCTCAACATTCATTCATTCAGTTCAATTTATTAATTAGGATGTACCAGACATTTTCCTAAATGCTGGAATCCCAAAGTGACCTGAACTGACAATCCCCATCCTTGTGGAGCTTATTCATGAGAGACAACTTGAGGTAGAATGGGGGGCTGAGAGGAGCTGGGGGAGGGATCAGCTACTTTGAGTGAGGAGATCAGGGAATCTCTTCTCAGATTTTAGCTGATGATAAACAAGGGAAAGGAAGGCCAGAGTAGAGGAAACAGGGAGGCAGAGGCCAAATCCCTGACAACTTTTATAGCCCATGGGTGAGGAGTTTAGATTTTAGATTTAGATTTAGATTTTTAGAGTTTAGATTTTATGTTGCATGAGATGGGAAATTATTACAGACTTTTAAGCAACGATATGCTGTAATCTGATTTATACTTTTATTAAAATCACCCAGACTTCTGTGGCAAGAGTAGGAGGGCAAGAGTAGAAGAGAAAGACTACTTAAAAGAGCCTACTACAGAAATCCAGGTGTAAAGTGTTGGTGGCTTGACCTGCTGGGAACAATGGAGATAGTTTATCAGATTGGGGATATGTTTTGTGACAAAATTCACTAATGGATTGTGTCTAGGGTGAGGAAAAAAAAAATGGAATGTGATTATGACTAGGTTTTTGGCCTAAGCAACTAATATTGAGCCATTGAATAAAATGGGGAGGGATGGAAAAGGAACAGGTGTAAGGCTTTGGGTGAGAAGCAGGAATAAGGAATTCTGTCTTACATAGATTCTATGAGGGAGTCTTCAAAAGTTCATGGAAGGATTTGTATTATCTATTCTATTTTTTCACAAACTTTCTGAAGTACCCTCATATTTGGAAAATGTCTATTAGCATATATCCAAATGGAGATAGATGTCAGTAGCTAATTACATATAAGGGTCTGGTGTTCCAAGGATTGTTGAGGCTGGAGTTATAAATTTAGGAATTAGCATCATATAGACTGGGTGTTGAAAACCTTCAAGCCGAATGAAATCATCTTAGGGGAGGGGATGAGGAGAATGAAAACGGCAGAAGACTGAGCACGCCAGCATATAGAGGAGTGAGCAGAGGAGACGTAAGAAACAAAGGTCCTGAGGGAGGAGGAGGGAACAAGAAGAATATCCTATTACAGAAACCTAGAGAAGGGGATTGCTGTGGAGATGAAGTGTTAGTATGTATATGCCAGAGTAGTAGAATATCCAAGGACTGCTGTATTTATTCCTCTTCAAGAAATCTGCTTGTATCCTATATTAATTTATTTGAAATTTGAATTTAAGATAAGCCTACTATTTTCTATTTATAACAGCATTAATGTTACATTAGTATTCAGCTGAGCTGTGAGAGAAGCATAAAGTCTCATATTATATTTGATAGTACTTTTAAAGACACAGAAAGAAGTCAAGTTATTAAAAAGACCATTCCAGCAGGAAGGAATACCTTTCTTGTGGCCATAAAAATTACTTTTGGTTTGGCACTTGAACCCATATGTTTGTATAGTTAATGAATTCTAGGTCTGGACACTCTAGCACTTGTAGTTAAGGGATAAGAAAAGATCATACTTGGGAATAAATTGGCTGACTAGTAACTGTATTTTGGGAGTTCCTTTGGTTTATGTTTCCATTTATTGGTTTTGGGGAATTTCAAGGACTTTGAATAAGTGGTTCTTCAGGAGAACAAAGAGCAAGCTTGGTTATCCAAAAAGTAAAAAAGACAAAGCCATCAGAATTGGTACTAGTTATGAAAACAATTTCTGTTGATGACAGAGAGGAAAATTTGTAACTCAACACTTGGGTACTGTTTGGTTTCTACTTAATAAAATTGATCAAGGATTTTTATTGTGACTCAAAAGTAATAGAGTTAATGACCAGAAGTAAATAATGATGTTGATTACATAACTGTTTTGGATTCTTTTGACGAGAATAAATTGATTTAAAATATATCTTCCTCCACTTTTTTTCTAATGTGGGCTTATTATTTGGTTAGAAATATGACAAATGCAGAGGCCATCAGGGAAAAAACATTTAGCCGTGTATAAAATTTTAACTCCCAAAATGAAGTTGAATGGCATTAATTGAGATCTGGCATATGGAAAACTAGCAGTTCCTTTGGGGCCAAATGGCGTAATCATTTTCAGTATAAATCCTAAACAGGTTACCTGTTTTAGGTTCGGAGATAGTTAGCAAAAATATCTAATGCTCTGTTTTCATACCAGGTAGCCAATCTGAATCCTAAAGACCTGTCATATACCTTAAAGGATTATGTTTTTAAAGAGCTTCAAAGAGACTGGCCTGGATACAGTGAAATAGACAGACGATCATTGGAGTCTGTGCTCTCTAGGTAAGTTCTTTTTTTCTTTTTCCTTTCAAAATAACAGAAATAAGTAATTATTTTAGTCATTGTTATTTTAGTGTTGAGGGAAAGAAAAGCAAGGGTGTGCTTTCTATCATGAACATTTTAAAATTTCTGTGCATAACCTGGAACATGTGTGTCTTTCACAGAAAACTTAATCCATCTCAGAATGCTGCCAGTACCAGCCATTCAGAATCACCTGTATGTTCTAGTAGAGAAGCTGCATCTTCTCCTCAGGTATTTCATAAAGTTTTGGAATCTTAGATCTGACATAGACCTGAGGAGCCAGCTAGTTAGGTACTCTGATTTATAAGTGAGGGAAATGAGACCCAGAGAAGCTGTGCAGTTTGCCTGCCCAAAGCCACACAGCTAGTTCATGGTTGAGCTCGATGTCCAATTCAGGTCTCTGGTCCTAGCCCAGGGGACTCTTTCCACTACACAGCACTGCTTGTAAATTACATAATGTATACCTTGCTTTCTTTTTTTTTTCCTCAAAATTTTTAAAGTTATGTGGTGTAAGATTATCTGCTTTTCAATTTGGTCACTAACTAGAAGATTTACCCAGTCCCATACAATTCTCAGATTATATGGAAAATTGAAGATACTTAATTTTGTCTGAAACATGTTCCAGAAAAATACTCTTGGGAGAAAATGTATTTGCAATAAGCACCTAAACAAAAAATGATGGTATTTGTATACATGTTTTCTTAAGGCCCTTTTCAATTGTATCCCAATCAGAATACTCCTCATCAGAGTCCACTCCAGTTTAGAGTTTCCCCCAAGATATTCAGCCCCCTAGAAAAAGATGAGGAGGTCCTGGACAGTATTAGAGCTCCAGCCTGCCTTGTTCTCAGCCAACCGGCCAGCCTTGAAATTCTGTGTCCTGGGTACTTTGGACGGACAGTGGGACAGACCTCCCCACCCCAGTACTGTTGACACAAGTGTCCTCTCTCTCCCTGGACCTTACTCTCAAGGATTAGGGAGAAGCAGACAGACGTGTGGAGAGCAGTAAGCATGTCCTGGGCCAAAGACTACTCACATGTCAGAAAATGTTAGAAATCTATTGTGAGCAACAGTGGGGGAGCAAAAAAAAAAAAACTCTATCCTAACATGTACATTGTCTGTGGAAGCATCAGTGTAATGCCAACTATTATGAAGCTACTTCCACTTTGATCAAATTATATACCAGATGCCAAATAAATGTTGCTGAATTAAAAACAGAATAAATTAATGGATTGATTAACTATTATTTTCTTTTAAGCTCAAGTACAAGCCACAGCATTACATTTAAACATAAATACGGATTTAAGTTTTGTACTTTTTAACTGTCTCAATGTCTTTCTTAAATACTACTATCGTTGATGCAGGATTGGGCTAATATTAGCATGATTTTTTAAAAAGTACTTCCACATCATTTTAGTGGACCAGTTATTAAGACTTATCTTCCTATCTGGTGAAGAAATATGTAATAACATTTCAACAATGATAGAGGTACTTTGAGAAATTACTCTGAAAGTTCTGGCAGTTCCCACTCTAAGACAAGTGAAATGATAAATGACAGCCAAAATATTCATAACTGGAGCATTTTAGCACATTAGAGATTAAATAAGTGCAGGCTTATTGCCTTTTACCTAGCCTTGTTAGTTCTCACAGGGTTAAATGGTACAAATTGCTTTCTTCTCTCATTTAATATAACTAGGTCAACCATGGCCAGCAGTGGAGGGCAGCCGCCTCTATTTAATACTCTCATGAGTTATAATCCACATAAATTAGCACAGTCTCTCTAGGAACTCAGGGTGAGGCTATATGATCAGAAAGAAATGTGTATTTGCCAAGTTCTGCTTTTTGACATTAGACATAAACATTTATTTCACTTTTTTTTTTAAAGATGACCGGTAAGGGGATTTTAACCCTTGACTTGGTGTTGTCAGCACCACGCTCTCCCAAGTGAGCTAACTGGCCATCCCTATATGGGATCCGAACCCGCGGCCTTGGTGTTATCAGCACCACACTCTCCCAAGTGAGCCACGGGCCAGCTCTTATTTCACTTTTGGTTTCATTTTATTGTTGTTTGGGGGTTGGTTTGTTTTCTGCTTAAGCTTGGAGTAAAGTAAGCACAACCCTGGTAACAGACTTAAGTACAGTATGCGTAAGATTACTCCCTCATTTAACCAGTCACACATATATTGAATTTATTGAATTTTAGTGCATACCTGCTCATTCTTTTCTTTTTTTCCCCTCCCAGAAACGACTTTTGGATTCAGATTTTATTGATCCCTTAATGAATAAAAAAGCTCGAATATCTCACCTGACAAATAGAGTACCGCCAACATTAAATGGTCATATGAATCCCATCAGTGAAAAATCTGCTGCAGGCCTCCCGCCGCCCCCTGCAGCTGCTGCCATCCCCGCCCATCCACCGCTGCCTTCAACTCACCTGCCTATCTCAAATCCTCCTCAGACTGTAAATTCTAACTCCAATTCCCCTAGCACTCCAGAAGGCGGGGGGACTCAAGACCTACCTGTTGACAGTTTTAGTCAAAATGGTAGTATCTGCAAGGACCAGCAAGACAAATATACCTCTAGGACTTCTCTGGAAACCTTAACCCCTGGAAACCTACTAAAGTGTCCAAAGCCTATGGAAGAAAACCATTCAATGTCTCACAAAAAGTCCAAAAAGAAGTCTAAAAAACACAAGGAAAAGGACCAAATAAAAAAGCATGACATTGAGACTATTGAGGAAAAGGAGGAGGACCTTAACAGAGAAGAGGAAATTGCCAAGCTGAATAACTCCAGTCCAAATTCCAATGAAGGTATTTTACATTTATAAAAAAAACTGACGACATGTGAAAAATGAACTGGAAGAGCATGCTATCATGAATCTGAGATTATGCTGTTTATAATTAGTAGTGCTTTTTTTTTTTTTTTTTTTTTTTTTTTTTTTTTTTTTTTTTTTTTTT